GCTTATTAGTATATATCTACACTATATAAACAGCAAAGTTATGTAACTAGAAATTGTATTTATACACCGCCTTTCGTACACATTCACAAAAAAAAAATCTGAATTTATATTGTAACTGTACATATATATATTTGAGTTAATAACGAATTGCATTCGTCATCGGCGGGAGAATGTTAAGTTCAGATTTAAATTCATAAAAGTCACTGCCGATATAGTGTAAGAATAGTGATTTTCTCTATGTAATTGCCATAGTGTAGATGCAGTGTAATGCTGCATGTTTATCGATTTCGATACTTTACAAACACCTTTGGGTTTTCTGTAATCCCTAAAGTAACAAATGAGGAAATAAAGCATAGCAAAAGGTATACTTGGTCAATTGGTCTTGTTTTTTATTTTCATTGTCCACGAGTATTGATTAAGAATATTATTCATATCCGACCAACTTCCAGCCGGGACATCATTTAATCGCATACGAAACACATACTGTACATAAAACGTGCATAAATGTATTTTAAAAAGCTATATAGCTGACATGCTTATTGAACGAATATATTTCATCAAAGTCTTTTATCTCATCAACATGATTTAGATCATGTTCGGGACGGGATGAAATGTGGGCCGGGAATTCCTCTTGAATTCCGCGGGAACGAGGGTGGAGGAGGTGCCGAATCCCTGAAGTCCTTCGAGGGTTGAATTTAACACATTTAAATTCGCTCAATAAAATTAAATGAAGCACTTCACTGTCACTAGTATATGTGTATATATATATGTAAGAGCCTAACGGCCACTTTATTATATGTCTATATAAAAAAATTCTGTAATAAAAATATGTAAAATTTATTAACAATTAAAGGACCTTACTTGAGTGATCGGAGTTCTCTTCAAAAGTGGCAGAGTGTTGGGTGATCCCAGAAGGCGAAACCCAACCAGTGTTGCCAGAACTTTTTGGGCCGACCGGCTAGATTGGCAAAAAAAAGCGGCTAAAAACGGCTAAAATGTTTAAGTGAAATTTCACATGCTTTATTTAAATAAATCGCAAGAAACGAAAGACTAGTTAACACCATTAATTTATATCGAGTGTATATTCCTCATCATCAAATGAATCACTATTGTATATATCACCTGATTTCATTAATTTTAAGAGATCGTCATCTACAGTAAAATTATGGCAGCATTTTTCTTCACGTTTTAAACCGTATCTTATATATAAAATAGAGTTTAACGTTTTAACGCACATTGGATTTCTTTGCTTCGTTTTTATTATATTCATTGAACTAAATATTCGCTCTACTTCTGCATTACTTATAGGCAAAACAAGAAAACTAAAAACTAGGTTGCAAAGGTCAGCAAAAGGGTTTTCTCCTAGAGCATTTCGAATTTGATAAACTTCGGCCCAAAATTTTACAGTTGAGTCTAAATTACTCCAGGTATGTAACGTTAACCGTTGCCATTGCATCTCTATAGATGTTATTTCGTCGTCATTATATTTGTGTTTTTGTTGCTGTAGTTGAACAAATACTTTTGGTTTAATTACTCTTAATGCATTTCCAACCGAAAAAAGTAAATTTTTTTTAGTGTGGCAATATTTGTAGGGAGGCGTTGGCGTAATTCCTTTATTAAAGTGATAATCAAATAGCGACCATTTTCTCGAATTATTTTCTCGGCTTCGTGATCAAAAGCGTTTGTGCTTACTTTTGTTTTTAAATACTCTTCAAAACTGTGATAAAACTGAGGAAATGGAGCAAGGTATGGTTCCAACGGGAAGCATATAGGATCAAATGTGTCCGCGCCAATAACCACTAGGGAGCATAGATGCGAAAGTAAAACATTGAGTTCATTAAAAATCTTCATTGGGTCTGCATTATTGCTTTCGAACAACTTGTTTACTTTTTGCACCTGAAAATTAGGCAAATAGTAAAATCGGCTAAAAACGGCTAACTTTTTTTTACAAACCGGCTAACAAATCGGCTGCCGGCTAGATCGAATTTTCTCCGGCTAGTTGCTATCAAAACCGGCTAAATCTAGCCGGAAAACGGCTAAAATGGCAACGCTGAACCCAACCATTGTGTACAAATACAAGTGAGATATCTTAGCAATAGACGTCATCCTGGGCCACAGCTGCAATCATCTGTTTTTTAGAGTTGCTTATTTTGGTCTTAACTGCTCTTAAAACTTGGTAGTATTTGTTGTTCAAATGGTAACATATATGCCCAATAACTTGAAAAATATTAAATGATTGCTTTTTAAAAATGCTATTTACAAAATTTCGTTTTGATTGCGACATTAGAAATATTCAGATTATAAAAGTTTTTCACATATGTTTTAAGATTTTAAAGCTTTTAAAAAGTACGGTAGAATGCAACAATGTGCTTAAATTTGTTTGCATCTTCGTCAGCTTATTCGTTTGCAGACTAGAAAAATGCCGAACAGCCATTAAAATACTAATTCAAAATACACATCTTTCACTGGACACACAAATGGGTGCGCGCAGCAAAATTCAGCCCTAATGGTAAGTTAATTTCATCGTGCGGCGATGACAAGTTAAGAATTTGCGATACGTTTTCAGGCGAATGTGTGCGAACGTTCACCGTGGGAAGAGGTATGGGACGACAGCTGGCATGGCATCAAGCCGGTAATCTGGTGGCTTTAGCATTAAGTTGTAACCGCGTTAAGATATTTGACATAGCTGAAGGCGAGCTAATACAGTGCATTCGTCGCCGGATAATGATGTTGCATTTCACCCAAGTGGAAATTTCTTGGTGACTGGCGGCGATGACGATACAATTAGATTGCTTGATTTATTAGAAGGCCGACCAATTTATACACGGTAGTAGTGCACTTTAGCGGAACCATATAATATAAATTTTTTCCTGTATTCAACAGTTGCTCGTTTGGAAATCGAATTTGCATACATTTGATGCCAATAGCTCTCGCAACAAACAAGCCAGTTCTCAAAGAGTCCAAATTGATTTTAGTCATGCAACAGCTCCACATAACTCCGCCATAGACACACCAGTTGCTGGAGTACCAAAAAGCTGTGCTGACAGTATTTTAATTGATCCACGACAATCGGTGGCATATGGAATGCGTGATGGAAATTTTCTGGTGCTTGATAGCCAATATACTACAAGAGTGAAACGCTACAAGTGAAACGCTGTGATAGTAATTTTTCTTAAATTTCCCTCTTTTATTTACAGTTACATTAAGAAGCTAATAAAGGACAGAGCTGTTGGTGAGGGAGGTGTCGAGTTACTGCAGTACTGCAACTGGGAAAATCCGCATTTCGCACGTGCCCCACTCGTATGGAATAGTAGCTTATGTCAAAAGGCTGGTTTTAGTATAATGCGGCATTCGCAGCATACCATCACTGGCGCTGAGCCGTTGAAGAAATTTTGGCAAATAAACGTGCAAGAAATAGTTCCGATACTAGCACGTCCATATTCTTGTTAAGGGTGATCAAAAAATTCCTTGTGTTGTAAATAATAAAGGGAATGCCGGATTATACTAAAGTCAGCTTCCCGACATAAACTACTATTCCATACGAGCCCCGAAATATAAATGCATCTAAAACTGAATAACTCAAATTGGATTGCATTTGCATAATATACCTAATATTGGAATCTGTCTTGATCGTAAAAAATACAACTTGCAATCATTTAGATTATAGTTTTGAAAGAAATTGATTGCAATCGTAAATTGTGTAAAAATTGTTAATAGCAATCTGCCTTAAATTTATGTTCCCCATGTTACGGGTATAAAATTATACGATCAAACGAACTTACCTGAGTGAAGTTCGATCGTAATTATACTAGCTGTCTCGTCCGAAGATATCAATACTTGTAGTAACGTCAGTTGCTAGATCTAACCACAACATTTCACAATTCTAAAAGAATTTTTTAGTTTCGTACCAGATAGCAACCCTTACCCGACAGCCATCTTGTTCTTCATTAATTTTACAATTTTGACAAATCGATAAGGGTGTACTTAAATTACCTAAGAATATAATGTCTATGTATATGGAATTTTTTGGGTGGGAGGGTTTGATATCTTCGGACGAGACAGCTAGTATAATTACGATCGAACTTCACTCAGGTAAGTTCGTTGGATCGTATAATTATACCACACTGTCTCGTCCTCGATATCAATACTTG